TTCTCTTTCCTCGTCATCGAATTCCCTTGGAGCACGTGCTCCTTTGGATCGAATTTGCCTGAATATCAGGGAACTTGATCTTTCCGACGTCGTGAAACCTTACACTGGTTATTCGGTTTGTGAAAGGAGTTCGGCGGGTCTCCTCGATGACCTGATCGACATCGGGGGCCGAGCTTGATGCCATTTGACGATGGCATGTATCCTCTTGAGCTCGGCGTCATTCTTTCAACGTAGCTTCTAAATGCTCCTGCTTGACTCGGGGATCTTTGGTCATCCTCCTGCGGGTGTTCGTGCAATGATCTGAATGGATCATACACCGAGTTGGGATCTTGAGGTCATGTGCGTCCCGTTCGTTGAAACTCGTCGCCTCCGAATGAGAATCGATCATCTCGAGCTCAATGCTGCGCCGGAGATGTTTCTGGTGGTCAATTTCGAGTTGGGATTGGGGTGGTTCTGGTACCCTGCGTTCCGTTTTCAACCTCGCCTTGGCCATTATAATCTAGAATTCGATTGTTTGTCCCTTTAGGTTGGGTCTGCCGCCAATTCTCTCCCGCGTAGCGCCCTGATCGGGTGCTGGCCACTTCGGGGGAGGCGAAGGCTCCGCGGTTTCGAGGGAGTGGTGTTTGGAGAGATGAATCCGAGTGTTGTCGGACTCTTTCTATAAGATTTTCTCGTCTCTCAGCGAGCTCCTTCTCGGTTTGTTCCAGGCGGCCGGCAATGGTTTAGTGAACGGCTTCTTGTTCACGAGATCCATCGATAAGCGTCAAAATAATTGCTCTGGTTTCCGCCATTTCGTCTCGAGTTCAAGCCAAATGAGTTGGGGATCTTAGTCTCGTTGTTCGGGTTGGATCATCAGGTGTTGTTCTATCCGTCGTACGATTCCACACTCGAGATCCGATTCGATCAGTGGGAGGGTTTTGATCCGAGATCGTATTCTTTCAGAGATTGAAGTTCCAATCGATGGAGCCTGTTGATTTTGGGTCGCATCGGTGGATTTACTGATGTTTGCTCGGTTGACGGATACCGGCCGGATCGGTCTCCAGAGGGTTTCCGGTGGGAGAAACGTCGGTCGATCCAGATCGGACGTTTTCGGGGATGGTTGCGTTGGGATCCATAATCGTGCTTAGAGATCCTAGATTGGATTCTCAGCAAGGGCATTTTTTTCTTTATCTTCCCCACAGTCGACGCCAAAATGTAGATCCTAAAATCCACACTCAGTATTTTGTAGTGATCCAGAGTTCAGTCTGAGGAAGAGAAATGATGTGGGCAACGATGCTCTTAAACACAACGATATAATCAGAATTCGGTTGACAAAAATGAACTTTTATTGAATATAGGTTTGTTTACGAGGTGATGAACAAGATCATAAACAACAATGAAAAGTAAAAGCAATAAGCAAACTAGAAATTTGTGGAGTGAGGTCGATGTGATTAATAAATAGCTCTAGGGTTTTCCCTGTCTTTTGCACTCCATTCTAGCTCCTTTTTATAGCCCTCTCTTCCTCTAACTATTTCTGCGATCTCTGGGATATCATCTCGACCTTGTAGAGTCCGGTTCGATGTCGAGTTCGTGATAATTTTAGATGGGCTTGGGCCTACTTAGATAGGTGCTGAAGTTATCATTGTCACTCTGCACTTGGTTTGCAATAGCGAGAACACTATCATCCTTAGAACCACCATCTTTATCTTTCTCCGACGGAATATCACCACCATCTTCCTCCGACGGAGTAGCACCACCATATTTCTCCGACAGATTATCATCTTTATCTTTCTCCGATGAATTCTCACCACCATCTTCCTCCGACCGAGTATCACTTTCCTATCCGACGGCAGTTCACCAAGACCAGGTTCACTAACCCTAGGACTTTTCTCTTTGTTTTTAGAAGAGTTACCCGGTTAGACAATGAATTGAGTTTTTTGTTCACTTCCTTCATACTATCTCGGATTGCATTCATAAGCCGATCTTTCATCTCTTTTAAAGCCTCAACTCCAGGAGCCTTCACCGAATTTTCATGAGGAAGACCATTTTCTGCATTATTGGATGGTTCCTCAATAGCAGGAATGGTGGGACCTTCAACTTGAGTTGTACGAGCCCCATAATCGATGCGGAACTACTCTTCAAAGAAAAATTGTTTCTTCGTTTTATGTATTATCTTGGTCCAACAATCAACTGCTGCATCGTCATCAGCCCAACAAATTTCCTTGCCCATTCCTATGCTTTCTAGAAGTTCCCTCTCTTCCGTTGTTTCTACCAAGATACTCGTAATATCATGTGCCGCCAAATACACATAAAACATTAATTACCTTAGTTTTACCAAGTTTTCATAAGTCCCTTTTCCTTAATTTCACTACACATAAAATATCAATTACCTCAGTATCACCGAGTTTACCGTTCACTGCATTTGGACCGAATGCCTTTGTTCCACCTTTGCGTTTGTACTACATCTTGCACATCCGTAGGCAACCAGGGTGTGCACCAGTCACAGTTTCTCGGAAATGGTTCCTCAAGCTTGAAATTGCCTCAAAGGACAACAACTACGAACACACAACAACAAAAAACATTAATATCAACTTAACAATAAGACAACTAAGTATAAGCGAGCTTAAAATTACCTCCAAAGGAATAGGAAAGCTTGTAAAAACCCAACTCGTCGGCACAACCCTGTCGCATTTTTCTAAGAAGCTAGAGACATCCTTCAAGTTATGTTCGAATGCATACTGCCCCCAAGGGAAACTTAAACATGCATTTAGGTCATCAACAACAGTCTGGAAGATACTGTCCACATGTGATGCTCCCTCTCCAGTCTTTCGGCCTCCGACGAGGATGATTGCTAAGAAGTACAGAGCGGCCATCTTTAAACGATCCTAAGATGGCTTTGATTTCATTGCCAACATTTTCTTCTCCAGCTCAGCGTATGTAACACTTTCCGTTCAAAATACTTATTCATGAATGTTGTACCACCCAACCTCTCATGCTTGGGGGGATACTCATGGCAGTTCAGTCCAGAAATTAGTCCAAATTCTCTGAGAGAATATCGGGTTGGGACGCCATTAACGATAAACCATAACTCATACTTCTTCGCTACAGAAGCTGATCGCAACACGAGAATCCACATTCCCATCCACTTCTGCTTTCTGTTTTTAATATGGAAGAAATGTTGGAATTGTGGGTGCTTTAAGAACCATTCCACCTCCTTCTCTTTCAGGATCGTTTGAATATTTCTTATCGCCGTGTCAATGTAACATTTTCCTGAAACCCTTAACAACTTTGATACAGGCTTGAAGGAAAGTGCAAATTCATCGGTAGCATGCCTCCTTCTTCGTCATCTACAAGCTGCACTCAAGTGAAAACCGGATCACATACGACATCTTACAACCGTCAACATAAAGTTTCATGAACTTGGACTTAGTTAAGCAATCATAAAGTTGAAGTTTGTCTTGGTTTTACAAAGTTGGTACATCTATATTGTTGAAGTTCAACTTAGATTTACAAAGTTTCACATTACAAGTTCTAGTTTGTTTCTCAATACCATAAATTGCACTTAGTTTTCCACACTTATTCAATCTTTCAAATCATCTTTCGAATATTTTTCAAAGTTCTACAAATGCCTTTAGTATTTGAATACTTACCTCTGGATGCGGCTCAGTTTCATGTTCTCGTACTGATAATTGGGTCCTCCTTCCTTCAGCTTCTTCGTCATTTCTTCGGGGCTCCATTTCATCTCCTTCTTTGTGCTCCTTCTCTTCTTCTCTGAGTTTCTTCACTTCTTCTCCGACTTCCTTCTCTTCGTCCCGACCATCCTTCTCTCCTTCTCTTTCGTGGTCTTCTCCTACTTCACGTGATTCCTCCTCTTCCTCTTTCTCACTTGCATTTTTTTCGCTTTCGTCAGCATCTCGGAGACTTCGCTCGGCTACCGGGACGAGAGATTTGTCGATGGTGCTTGGGTTTGCTTCATCCCTACTAGCTTCTCCGAATTCTAATCATAGCTGTTTCTTCTCTTCCTACACTACTCGAGCCGTCTTCTTTCACCTTCGGATTGTCTCCATTCAACATGCTTTGGGTTTTGATTCTCGATTGAGTAGGGTTTTCAAAATTCAAGAGACACACGAGCAGTCGACACAGGGAGAACCTTATTTTTATTTTACAAGTTCTTTTTTTTGACAACACAAGTTCATTTATTACTTTACTTTTTAACCTTAATTTTCAACCAATAAAGAGAAGCGTATTCGGAATTTCACTTTCTGCAAGTGGGTATTTGATTTAGTTGGGTCGGTATTGGGTTCGAGTTTTACTACGTCGAATTGTAAATATCTAAGTTTCTCTTGGTTCCGTGGTCTTTTAATAACTTTTTTGATTTAATTAAAAATTTATCTATTTATTATTTCCGGTCGGAGTATCACACATTTTTTTTTTTCCAGACATGAGTTACTGAGCAATTGATTCACTTTCATCGATTTCATCCTCAGAAGCTTGCGCTACTCCTCTAAGTCCCCATAACACTAACTTTCTCAATCACCCATCCTTTGCTTAACGCAAATTTCCCTTCAGTTCTGACCACATCTTCACAGTACCGTTCCCGACCGAAGCATAGAACTCAACGTTCGTAGTCTAGGTAAAGAACCCGTCTCGTATCCCACAGAAGCTCCAGCTGGGACATATAAATTTGTTGCATACTCATGACTTAACCATCTATAACTAGGAATGAGTAGAAGTATTTGCAAATGCAATTGCAAAGAGTAAACTTGTGTGCGTACTGGCGGGAAACTATGTTTTCATGTTTCAGTTTTACCTCCAAAATGGTTCTCATATTCATTTTCATAAGGATTATGTATTTATTATCACATTAATTTATATAAAAAACGGTTTTAGACATATGATATTCTTTTTTAAAATATATAAATAAATAAATGCGCACTGTGCACGATAGCATAAAGCAGTATTAGCAAATTAGCATCGTTTACTTTCACTTGTGAAAATTACTTAAACCAATCCCAAAAAATAAAAATTCCATTTTTCTTATTTATCGTTAATTTCCCCTAAATTCTCGATTTCCGATCGACGGCGAATCTGGAGCTTATTCCGCCGGCAAATCCATTAGGGATGTGTAAATTCGAAGAGAGTTGAACGGAACCCTAATTGGAGTGCAGTGGATCTACAATCTCTACGAGATCTGCTCAAGCTCTCTCTTGAGGAAGAATCTGAAAGTGATAGATTTACAGCATTGTTTCGAAGTAAGATCTCTAGCTTGCTCTTGAAGAAATCGCTTGTATCGCTACTGTATTGATTGTGGATTATTATTAGGGGTTTTTAGAAGTTAGCGAAGGCTTTAAATGTATTGTGATTCTTTTGCTGGAGTTATTAAGCTTACATTTGACTCTCTACCTGTTTCAACTGAATGTTTTGTCGAAAAAGGAGACAACTTTATGCTAGCTTTGACTTCAAGATGCGTCAATACCCAAATCTACGCCGAGTGATTTTGTAATTTTTGACATATGCTAAGCATCAAATGTTTCTGTTTTAAGGCTCCACATGGGTTCAAGCTCGAGATTGATCTCAACTTCTAAGATTATTTTAGTACTAGTTGAGGACAGCTGATACTGTTTTGTGTTCCGTGCTGTCATAAAGTTGTTGTCTTTTGATTTCTTTGGTTTGAGTATTGGGTTATCTTGTATTGACTGAAAATAATGATTCTACTTTTGATTGCAGATGATGATGATTATCTCTATTAATGGACAACTTTGTGCTTGCTAGCTCACGAGAACGGTCTTAGTTTTCTTTTGCAGAGCTCTTGTTAAAATTGACCTGATTCTATACATGGAAGCGTACAGAGAAGAGGCTCTCAGAGCCAAGCAGATGGCTGAGAGAAGATTTGCAGAAAAGGATTTTACGGGTGCAAGGAGTTATGCCTTGAGGGCGCGGTCACTGTTTCCAGACTTGGAAGGTTTGTCTCAAATGCTCACGACCTACGAGGTTTATATAGCTTCTCAAAGTAGACGCAGCGGGGAGATTGATTACTATGCGGTTCTTGGACTCAAACCATCCGCTGGCAAGAGAGAAGTGAAGGCACAGTACAAGAAGATGGCTGTATTGCTCCATCCCGACAAGAACAAATGCCTTGGAGCTAGTGGGGCTTTCCAGATCATATCCGAAGCTTGGACTTTCCTGTCAAATGAATTCAAGAAAAGCACTTTTTATTACCAAAGAAAGAAACTTATCGACTCCATGGTGGTTCAAGAGAACAACAGCACTGAGTATGTCCCGGGGACCGCTGGAATTGATTGTCGTCCACCAGTTTCAGAAAGACATGATACGTTCTGGACTGTATGTACCTCTTGCAGAGTTCAGTACGAGTATCTGCGCAAGTATGTGAATAAGCGACTTTCGTGTAAGAACTGCCGAGGAGCATTTATTGCTGTGGAGACTGGGCCAGCTCCTGTTAGTGCATCTGTTCAATATGCGCCGCCTCCTCATACAACAAGTAATGGCTACGGATCTCATGGCTACGATTCCGTCTCACGCATGCCTACCAATTCCACTTATTTCTTAGGTCAGTATCCTGCACATGGATATGAATATGTTACCAATGAGTCATATGACTGGAACTCGTACGTGGGAACATCTCCTGGGAATCTAGAGTCAAACCGTTTGTCTTCAGCATCCAACGGATATCCTTATAAGCTCGCCAATGAAGTAGTCTGTAGGGGAAGGAAGAAAATTAAAGAAGGATCTAACAGGACTACAAGCACAGCCTCTGATCTTATATATCCGGGTCCACCTAATTGGTCTGCTGGTCCTTCAGTGATTAAGGCCAGCCGACCTGAGAAGAAGAGGAACGTTGGTTTGGGGTTATCTGGTAATGGATTTGTTGAAAACACTACAAAATCTTATTCTAAGGAATCAAAAACAACAAATTCGGATGGAAACATGGAAACTGAGTTTAAACATCCTGTCCAAAGCCATGGTTCAACTAGACGGTGGTCTGCGCCTGCAACAGGATTGGATACGCGGAAGCTATTGATTAGCAAAGCTAAAACACATATTCAGCAAAGATTAGAGATGATGAGATTGGCTTCAGTGGCAGCAGCAGCGATGGCTACATTGGACGCAGCTCCACTTGATGAAGTAAAGGCCTCCTCCAAGGCAGGAGATGGTGTATCCGGAATAGGAAGCTACTCCGGTCATCAATCTGTTCGGAAAATAAATGGACCAATAACAGTTCCAGACTCCGACTTCCATGACTTTGATGGAAACAGATCGGAAGAATGCTTTGAGGCTAGGCAAATATGGGCAATTTATGATGAAGATGATGGTATGCCACGGTTATATTGCGTGGTTAGGGAGGTACTCTCGGTTCAACCATTTAAGATTGACATAGCCTACTTGAGCTCCAAAACTGACATCGAGTTTGGGACAATGAAATGGGTGCAGTACGGGTTTACTAAGTCGTGCGGACATTTCAGGATACGAAACACTGACATAGTTGACCACGTAAACATATTTTCCCATCTCTTGAAAGACAAGAAGACAGGAAGAGGTGGTTGTGTTAGAATATTCCCCAAGACTGGAGAGATTTGGGCTGTGTACAAGAACTGGTCACCAGACTGGAACAACTCAACCCCTGATGAAGTGAGGCACCAGTACGAAATGGTTGAGATCCTCGATGAGTATTCTGAACAGTTTGGAGTTTGTGTCGCCTCGCTTGTGAAAGTCGAGGGTTACAAGACCGTGTATTGCAGGAGAGAGGAGGAGACTACAAAATGGATACCGAGGAAAGAGATGCTGCGGTTTTCACATCAAGTGCCATCTTGGTTTCTTAAAGAAGAAACCAGCGGTGTCCCCGGAAACTGTTGGGACTTGGACCCAGCTGCTATACCTGAGGAGTTGCTTCGCACTGGAGCAGGAACTGACTGAGATGTAGCTTCACTTTGATGCAAGAGACAAGAGTAAGATCTTTTTATATCTCCATACAACGGTTTTTGACTCTCTAGAAAACCCATCTCTCTATCCACAAGATTTCTGGATTATTATGTCAGGCACTATATACGCGCAAGCCTCTGTTTGTTCATTGGAGTCGTACTATTAGCAATGTTGAAGAACCGAAACATAGTTTGTTTGACTTGTTATTTGTTTTTACTATTCTGTATTTCCTTTTTCTTTGTTAACCGTTAGTATTAAATGTAGCAGATATCATTTTGGTTTTTACTTCTTCTCCCTCTAGCTTTAGACGGCGAATGTTACATCTGAAGTCTGAACCACTTTAGTTTTATCAGTTCGAACTTGGAATTCATTTTTTTCTTTTCAAATTCAGCAAAACTTTTATGTGACACCAACTTTAAATATCTACTAGAGTTTTGATCTGTGTGGACACGGGTGTTATATTTACGAATTATGTATATATTTAAAAACACACAAAATTCAATGCTTTCCCTTATACTATGTTAGTGTATTTTTTAAAATATATGGTTTGGAAATTGATTTTCTTTTGGATGTGTTGGATCAGTTATGTAGTTATATGGTATCAATAATTATATATATTTGATAAATTTCATGATTACATTTATAATTACATGAAAATATATTAAAAATACATAATTACCTAATTAAATTATAAATGGTCATTTTATTTAATATAATGTACAATATTATTTAAAATGGTTTTACGAAATCTATATTCACCTATGTTACATGGAAACGGGAGCGGATGCGCATAAGCGGAAGCGTTTGGAAACGCGAAATCAGTATTTTATAAATTTTTAGGAAACAGAAGCGTGTTGGAAACGTTTTAGTATATATATATATATTATTAATCTGAATAAATATCATTTTAATGTTAATACTCCCTCTGTTTTATAATAAGTGTCATTTTAGGTCTTGGCACACAGATTAAGGAAATAATTAATTTTACATATTTCCCGTATAAAAACACAATTACCTATACATCTCAACCAATAGAAGAATGAATTACAGAATAAAATCAATAAATTTTGCATAAAAAACCGAAAACGACACTTATTTTGCAACGAAAAAAATTGTCTAAAGTGACACTTATTATGTAACGGAGCACTTATTATGTAACGGAGGGAGTATTTTAATATACAAAATCTAAAATGAAATTTAAAATTTAAATTATTTTGTATTATATTATATCATATTACGTGAATGTTGTTATATTTATCAAATAAAAGAAAAAAATATCAAAAGTATATTGTTTTTTTATCAAACAAACCTTAGTTGATCTCATATTAATTTCATGAAAATGCATCATACTACGTTTATATTAGACCAGTGAGAAGAGTATAATATTCTTTTTTTTTTTAATGTTGGTTAAAACAAAAATTCATATAAAATTTTTAATTCCAGAACACGTGAAACTTGAAAACCCTAATTGCTTCTTCTCCATTATAACCTTGGTGACTACTTTTTCACATGATAAATTATACTCCCTCCGTTTCATATTAAATGTCGTTGTAGAGATTTTTTTGCGTTACAAAATAAGTGTCGTTTTCGATTTTCAATGCAAAATTTATTAATTTTATTATGTAATTTGTTTTTTTATTGGTTAAAATATGGTTAGGTGTACGGGTAACTGTGTTTTTATCTAGGAAATATGTAAAATTAATTGTTTCCTTAATCCGTGTGCACAGCTGTAGAGTGACATTTATAATGAAAAAGAGGGAGTATACATCTCGGTAATTAACAAGTACGGGTATTTGTCAAGTACAGCTTTATATCTTTGAACGAATCCGGCTCATTCAGTCATGCGTTTCCAAACCGGAATCAAAGCTTCCCTTGCGCTTCCAAATTTGACTCTTCCAGAATCGCGATTCCATCACGATTCCTGGCGATTCCGGACGTTTCCGAATCCGTTTCCGCTTCCGAAACGGGAATCATAGATAAAACAACGATTCCATGTAACGTAGATATTCACCAAGTAGATTTTATGTTGTTACTAAATATAGTAAAAATACCTTGAAAACATGTTACTACAGATTTTAAATATTTTTTCTTGAAAAAATTAATGACAATCATACAAAACACAATTGAAAAGTTAATTATAATTTGGGCCATAGAAATGCATAGTTTAAGGTATTATCCCATTAGGTTCCTGTTACTTTTTCCATAACAGAATATACATTTTGAATAATTTAATATACATTCTTTTATTGTTAAAGGAATAAAAGGTAAGTCAAACATGATTTGCAAGGACTAATGTGTGTCAATTAATCGGATTTGAATCTTGAAGTAAAAATATATACGTTTTATTAGCTAAATCAAAAATACGAAGTCAATGTTAGTAAGATTGCCATCCTTTTACTTATGATGATGGCTTTAAAATAGGAAATATGTTTTAAATAATTTAATTGCGCTACGAGATCATTACTTTAGATTTGGTGGACAGAAATATCTTCTTATGTTAACCAATCAATTTAAGAATTTTAAATATATTTTGGATATAATACAAAAAAATGTTATTAAAAATATCTTCTTTGTAAATATTATGAAGAAAAACTGACAAACACACAAATGTAACAAAAATAGGAACCAAAAATTAGTATGATATACAAACTTGGTATAAAAAGTAATCCATTGAATTTCCAAAAGGTTGAATTTGATTCTGTCGTTACCACTAAACCAAGAAATTAGTGGTTTGGAAATACATATACAATTCCTAAATTTGGTTTACTATGAAACTACAATTTCGCTGGTTTTCTAATTTTGTAAAGTGATGCTATTGAAAATCAGTGACATAGAGTGATAATATTAAGGGTGAAATGAGGATTATTTCAAACTTGTTTTGGTTTAGTAATAATGGTTTGTAAATTTATGGTTTAATAATAAGACTAAACGCTGTGTTTTATTAATTGTATAGGACGATATATATAGGCAATGGAGGATCAGGTGGTTTAGTAAAGTTTTATAATTTTATGGTTTATTAAATCATGTGTTTCGGTTTAATTTAAAAGAAAAATCTATGTTTAATTGATAGACCATGATTTTGACCCGCTTTTGGTCACATTTTCTATATGTTTTTATTATAAATATCTATGTTTTGGAGTCTATTAGGTATGTTTTCAGGTTCAGGAGCATTTTATGGTAAAGTGATGATCTAGGTGCCTTTTGGTGCCTAAAGAAGAGTTTTCCAAGATGACTATGAAGATCCGATATAAGAGATACATATCGATCGATACACACCCTGTGTAATCGATCGATGACGCTTCCGTAGAAGTTGAAGTCGAGATCCTCCATCGATCGATGTACACCATGTACCATCGATCGATACAGAGCGTGATGAGCAAGATGTATTTGGCCAACTTGAAGCCCAAGTTCTCACCAAATTACAAGACTGACGAGTTTTTTAACCTAATTGTACTCCCTATTTATACCTATGCCTATGAGCCTTTAGAGATATGAAGTTTTGTACCAAGTTTTGTATTCTATTCTATTTAGCAATAAAAGTATTTTCTTTTCTTATTCTTTTGCTATGAATCTCTTGGCTATTTCTGAGTAGATTCATATGTTAGATTTAGGGTTCAAATAGTTATGAGGGATTAGCCCCAACTATGGATTATTGAGTTGTTATATTCATTATCCAAATGAACCCTAATGCTTACTCTAGACTTGCTACCTAGAGTATTGATTTTGGAGTGACTAATCTAATAGTCATCTTCCTGAAATCATTTGGCTAAACTCAGACTCTATTAAGGCACGTGCGATAGCCGGTCCTATAGAAATTCTCGGGTGAACAATAGTTCGATCCGATCTGATACTTAATATCGATCGATACTCTTCTGGGGTATCGATCGACGACAGCTTATATCGATCGAAACTGCGATAGCAACATCGATCGATGCAGTCGGCAATCAGATCAATGGATGAGTCTAACTAGCGACATCTATAAATTTGTCTAAGGATTGAAGTTCTCATATATTTGCAAGCAATTCGTTAAGACATCCATAGATCTATAATCCTGATTTTCTGAATAGTAACCTTGAATCTAACTATTTTCCTTCATTGTTTTCAAACCAAAACCTATTCTCTTTATCAACTTACCATTGCTACTTATTTTATTTACTGTTTTAAACCTTTTTCAACCTAGCTTAATCACATAGGATTATATATTTTGTGTCTCTAGTTCCTTGTGGATTCGATCCCTAAGTACTACGATTGAACCTCTTTTGATGAGAGTAATTCAAACCTTAGGATAATTTGAGTGATATCATTAATATTAGTGGCATAAGAAAGTAAATATAAAGAAAAACTAATGGTTAAGTACAAAATGTACTTCTCTTTTAATTAGATGATGATTACTCATCATGGATATACAATTATGAAAATTTAATAACTCAGGATCAACCTGTTTCTGTTTAGCTGAGGTGGATTCTGGTTAATTTGTCTAATCTTTATATTATTAAAACATAAACACTATTTAAAAAAACACTGATAATACATTGCACATAATTAAATATGCCATTAAATAGTCGACAAAAAAATGCCATTATGCAACCTTAATATTGTCTGAAAGATGGGTTTTTCATATTAAATTTTTGTCAAAAATTATATAAAAAATAATAATTCTTTCCTTAACAAAAGAACTGAACATATGCTCTAATATTGCATTTAGGTAAAACTTTCGATTTTTTTTTATATTTTAAATTGAAAACGTATATGTTTTTTATCTTAAAATGTTTTTTATCAATTAAATAATTTCATTATTATTATCAAAGATTACCTTCTAAACAATCCTTAAGCATATGATAATTACTCCCACATTGGAGCACGTATCAGTACCCTGTCAACACACTGCACGATACATCTTACCATACGTCCTACACACCGGTAATACGTCGACACTCTGATTTTCAACATGATTAGGTCTAGGGCTTCGATTGCTACAACATATGATAAAACAATAACAATCTGTTGTAGAACTAATATGCTGTAGAAGTTATATGCTTTTTTTAAAATTTGAATAAATTGATTGGTAGAACAGTAGCTGTAACAATTTTAAAATTATTATAATATTAATATAATAATAAATTTATTTTAAAATATTATTTATATATGTATATACTTTATATACTAAAGCACATATTACTTCACCAATTAAATCATGACACATGAAATATATTTTAAAAATTAATAATATCAATACAAATAAAATGCTTTTCGATTCCAAATTTTCTCGACATCCAATAACTGAATCCCTATAAAAATTTAGATTATCAACACCACGTCAGAAAAACCATCAACACCTTCAAAAATAACGATCATATTCAAAACTGTTGTATCTTCCATATAACCTTCCTTTTTTTGTTCAAATCTTT